TATCATTTAATTTAGGCGAAACTTCTTCAATAGATATAGGAGGTACGAATACTTTTGAAAATGACTGTATAAAATGTAATAGATGTTATAGTCACTCTTAATAAATAAATGAACATAGAACATAGACTGATTGTATGTATATGTAAATATGAAAACTGAACATAAGAATCTGTGTTAAAAATACAAGATTTTTATGTGGCTTTTCATAAAACTGGGATCGTCAATGATTGTTATTTTTTTTTTCATGGTTTACAATTAGGATTTTTATAACATATCAAAATTTCAGCAACTTTCTAAATTGCATTTTGACTTAAACTGAAAAAATTCGTATGAAAGTCTGTATATTTCATAAGAATCTGTGTTAAAACATACTTGTATACGAGCGGCAAAGGAAAGACCGATCGACAACAAAGAGACCATTTTTATTGCCGAATTCTATCGCCACTTGTCTCTGCTCTATTGTGACCGACGCATGAAATACAATGGCCTCTGGCTCTGGAAAGGTCATAATGCAGTCGAAGGCGGCAACAGACGGAGGACGAAAACTGTATGTACACCAATGGGATTCTTCGATATTCTCAAGAATTATTCACCAGCAGACAGTAACGTCTGGACAAAAAAAACGAAAAAAAATCTCTGGGAGCCACCCATCGAAAACCTTTTTTGTAGTTGTGCTTTACCTGAGAAGGGTCTCAAAAACGAGTCTAGGATCTGTCTATTCTGTCGAGTATAATATGCTTCGGAAAGGCACGAATTTTGGTATCCTTTCTTGGACGTTAAAATGGGACGAATTAATAATATACCGGGTGATTCACGAGAAAGAGAATACCTAATTATCTCAGTTCGAATTAAAAATAGAAGAAAATGTTAGAGGAAAAAGTTGTACTGTTTAAGGGGGTAAATATGAGAATATAAAAAAAATTTCTGAATTTTGTAATTTTCAAGGTTTTTTGAAGGTCATCGGTAATTTTTGGATTACATCCAAAATGAGACATGAGAAATTATTATTTAAACATCAGTATTTGTATTTGCTATTGGACTATCATTATCGAAACATTTTTATTTGAATATCACTATTTCAATGATACCATTTGAATATCATTATCCAAACATTATTATTTCGAATATCACTATTTCAATGATACCATTGGAATATCATTACTCAATTATTACTATTTGAGTATGATAATTTCAGCAACTTGGTTATCACTACCTGAAAATTATTATTTAAATATTATACCTTATTAGTTACAATAATTATTAATATTATAATATTAGATCTCAATTTGTCTTTAATCTCAATTTTTCTAAAAAAAAACATCTCGTAACTCCTTATACAAGACAACCTGCATATTTTCACGCATACAATCGTACATTTTCCACCAGTACAAAGTTTAACAACTCCACGTATATTTTCTGTAATGACACATACCTCAACGAGTAAGGATCCATGATTGCTTCCTATACGACCTCGATGCAACAACCACAATATGCGCTTAGCCTTTAGCTGCTCCTCCCCTTCTTCTTCCTCTTCCAACACGTTGATCTATTTAACCTTTCTCGAAACGAACCCTCGTCAACTAAGGCCGAAACTGTCGCACTTGGTCACCATCTTACAGTCTGTAAAACACGAAACGTAGAAAACCATCATTGCTCGGATCGCCCGTGCAGCTTTCTTAGCGTAATTTTCGTCTCGCCCAATGTCACGCCGTTAAAGGAACACGAATTTGCGTTGTACAAGATATGCAATGAAAGAGAATTGAACGTATCCCAGCTTGCATAATTCGCTGTGCGCTGGTCACGAATGTGTGTTTCGAAGGAGACTGTGGAATACCATAGTTAATGACACGGTAATTTCGTAGCTGATACAGGAATCGTAGCCAGAACATTAACTTTCTACGCTGGGTTCGAAAAGTCTGTCTGCGGTACGATTATTTATCTGCTGACACGTGATCGATGGAAAGGTTCGCATATGCTCTGCGAATGCAACAGGGTGAGAAATTATACGAGAAGTATTCGGTTTATTTGTTTCAAATGAAAGCGAAGAACAGCTGAGATTAAGGTTCGTACAAAATGGGCTTTAGAATTTTCATAGTTATTAGATAAACTAATTTGCTATTAAATCGTCTCAGATTTTTTATTTCAGATAATGTAGCTCCAGAATATGAAATTAATAAAAATGTATAAAATATTAAGAATAAAATGCGTGTTACACTGTTTGGATGAAAAAATATATTTTCATTTAAATCACAATTCTTTATCCGAATCTATAAAACTTTAAATTTGCAATCCCAATCCCTAATCCCAATTTTTATTATTTTTGTATGAAAAAATTACTTGAACATCATTGAGATATGCTTATCTCTACATATAGACAAACAAACCTCAAAAGCTTCTGTTCAAAAATTCTCAAAAATACAGGGTTGTCCACGCAACTGTTTCAAGTCATAACTCCGTTATTATTGCATTTACGAAAAAATGCAAAAGGAGAAAGATAAATGGTTCGAAGAGCACTACATCTGTAGGCCTTTAAATGTTTTTTAGATGCAGCAGTGCATATGCAATTAACAATTGCATCATATCTTTACGTAGAAATGCATATTTTTTTGTTACACAGATCGATTCTTTTGTTCATTCCTTCTATTCATTCTACATAAAAAATGGTTAGGGTACTGCATAAACACGTATAAAAGGTGCTACACTACCAAGTGTCTGAATACTAAACTAACGCGAAAATCAGATAATCTTTTGTTTAAATCGTGCTATTTAACAACTACAGTAAGTTATGCAAATAAAACTTATACTATTGTTTACTAAACATATACGTTAATATAATACTTGATTATGTTTTTTGCTTGTTTTGTTACAAACAAAGTTATGACGCGATAATGTAAAAACCTCATAGTGTCCGAATATTAAAGTTACTTACTTGTACGTCCACGATACACTACACACGATCTGCTGACGAGCTCTTTTCGTTTGATCAATGCTCTCCTACCAACCGCGCATACGACACGTTTTTCTATATCTTTATCATAATAAACAGACTGCGGATGTTTATGTAATGCACATTTTCACAGGAACAGAAGAGGAACTTGAAGTCAAATGAAAATATGTCTCATCTCCTAAAAGTGTAACATGTATAATATTGTAGGAGGCTACGAAAAGTATGGCACGCAGAGATTCGAATTCGATTCTTGTTTTTGGATATGGAGGCGCAATACTACAATATTATTGTTGGTATTGTACAGAGTGTCCTAAAAACGTTGTAACATCTTGAAAGGGGTGGTTCGGGAGGTGATTTGAAACAACTTTTTCCTTAGCGAAAATGTTGTCCGAGGCTTCGTTGAGGAGATATTAACAGAAAACCCCGACCAATCAGAGCGCGAGTACACCGGTGGACGGGCCGCGGTAGCATAGGCTACGCGCTCTGATTGGTCGAGGTTTTCTATTAATATCTTCTTAACGCGGCCTCAGACAACATTTTCGCTAAGGAAAAAGTTGTTTCAAATCATCTCCCGAATCACCACTTTCAAGGTGTTACAACATTTTTGGGTCACCTTGTATATACAGGGTAGAGGTGATTTGAAATAAGTTCACAGATTTGTCACAGATTTCCGCAGGACAGCGATGTGTACAGGCATGAAGCTTCTGATGAAGTGCTAGGTGACAGGGATGATGTTTTTCTTTACGAAGAATTCGTAGTACACTTGTTTCAATCTCCATCTTGATATTACGTTAAAAACATTTTCAAGTAATAAAGTAAAATTACCTGTTAGGTTTAAGGCTAATAAAGGTCAATACTTGTTTATTTAGAATTTGTTACTCTACCATATTTTTGTACAAAAAATATACCATTCCATTTAAAAAACTGAAGGTCACCTTCATTTCTCAGAAAATAGTACAAATACGAAAGATCTATATACCTGGTTACATAGCACACAAAAAACAGTATAAATTTTGGCTCTTTCATTTTTTTGTCATATGTACCATTTACGAGAAAAACGCTGGCTAGTAATAGCCTGAACATCCTGTATATTATTGCATTTGTATACATTCTCATAGATTTCTTCATATCCGATATATTTTTGCATTCGTATACATCCTTATTTGTTGTGAAATGCAATATTTCATTCCGTACAATTTTTCTGTTACGAGTAACGAATGCATGGATGTTTACCGTCAACTTGTTAATCGAAATGTTTATCTGTATGCCCATAATTGCAGACTGTCTAATCCACTTTTTCTTTGAAAATGCACGAGCTTAGCGAGGAATCTCTTAACCGAAACCATTATCGGATCAATTTTATAGATAAACGTGCCAACAAAAGAATTTCTTATCTCTCTCAAAAATTATTGCCTTACGTTGCCAATATATATATAAAAGAAACATAAATTATTAATTATTGAAGAAACATAATAAACATATATGCATATATCTAGAATAATACACAGATCTTATCTGTATTTTAAAGCATAAGTATGTTTAACTTCATTTATAACATCTTTGTCTACTCCCAACGGTTTAGGAGGTACAACCTGTTCCAGTTGCGTGGGACACCCTGTATATATACATAATACAACGTATATTTCGCTTATTGTTGTTTTTACACTAAACACATTTATCGGAAATTAAATTGAAACTGTTTGGAACTTTTTTGTTGGACACAAATTTTCGATACAATCGATAATAACTCTAATATGAACTTGACTATATCCATCATAAATCACGAGCCGGCCCAATTAATCTTTACAATCTACAAGCAGTGAAACGTTTTGCGAATCTGTAAATGTATTTATTTATTTTAACTCATCAAGAGTTGAAAACTTATCGAGTTCGATCACAACTCGAGATCGGTCAAGACTTGCAGATCAATGAAGACTTTAAAATCAATCAAGATTTTAAAATGTCGGAAAAGATTACTCCCCGAGTAATTAAAACACACTAATCCCCACCATTGTTTATCGAATTTCATCGATTAACAAAAATTAAATTTTCCATGTTTATCATTTAACCTCGATAGAATCATTATTAAAAAATTGGCCTGATTTTTTAGATTAACATTAATCGAACCACAACTTTGGTGAAGCTATTATATTTTTAACTATAGGTACGTTATCTGTCTAATTTTTGAATAATTTCCAATAATTGAAATCCTGTTTCGAATCATTTTTATCGGGAGAATCTCCATGATTTTTTAAAATTGATGGATAAATACTACAAATTCAACTTTTTTTATTAGTTGTTCTTCATCAATTGATAGGTGTAGAAATTAATCCTGTGCCCTTACATTCAATCATTTATAACTCTTGTCTAAACAGATATATTTACTCGTAATTTTGGTACAGTGGGTGTAGAAAGTATTCGTACACCGATCAATTTCACAAAAAACTTTTGTGTGAAATTGTAGTTTCTTAACTTCTTTTTTTATAATCAATGATATTTTACATATTCTCGGAAGTCTCTAAGATAGATATAGTCCAAACAACTTTTACCAGTCAATATAATTTGTGATGTTAACAGAAAAATGCGAAAAGTGGGTACAAGTATAGAAGCAATAAGTATTTGCACGATTCTTATGACGAACCATTTACAGTAAAGTTTGTAACGTAAACACATTAGTTTATTGCTCCGTACGAATTAGAAAACATCAAATTTCCAGGAAAGTACTTTTAAATAGTTGTGCGAATACTTATTGCTTCAATATTTCTATCGATTAATTGTTTTTTTCTTGCTAATTTCGCAACTTACATAAATAGCTATTTTTTTTTTTTGTACTCTATCTAGTCTAGAGATTTCCGAGAATATGTAGAATGTCATTGTGTATAAAAAATGAATGAATAAATTACAATTTTACATAGTTTTTTGGAAGTTGATCGGTATACGAATACTTTCTACACCCACTGTATATAAAAGTTCCATCCTTCTAAGTCTCAACCTGATGGGCATTCCATGCAGCGTAACATTTTGGTTATTGTCATTCTTCTATAGTTATTATAAATACCTGTTATACATGTAATCTGTTAGAAGAAGATTAGGAAGCAAAATTTTATGGTTACATAAACTTTGTATATGTAGATAAATTGTAACGACCATCAGGTTGAGACTTAGGTTATCAGTTCAAGAACTTAGAAAATTTGTACTTTAACGTAACGAAGTGACGAGTAAATATTTCTATTTAAACTAGAGTTACAAAAAGATAAGAGATAATAAACGATTGAATATAAAGGCACAGAATTATTTTCTACACCTAATTAATACAGGGTGGCTCACATAACTCTTCACATCTCAATATCTCAAAAACCATACCGTAGATTTTAAAGTTGTTGGTTTTAAATTGCGTAGATTTAATATAATTTAATATAAAGGAAATAGAAATTGAATATATCATTTAACATAATTCAATACAAACTAAATAGAAATTATTTCATGTTTCTATTTTTATTTATACGTATGACTTTTCTTCTACAAGGAATAACAACATTTTAAACTACAAGCTTAATGTTTATAAATTGATTTGAAAAAGCAAGAAAAAACAAAAGGAAAGTTAAAAAAAAAACAAGAAAAATTGTTATTTGCTTTTACTTATTCACGTAATTGTCTAAATCTTCGTGTTAAT